TGAAATAAACTTTCTTCTCACGATGTTAACATTATTATAGGTCAAGACTATATACTGAATGCATTTGGAATCTAGCCTTATTTTTACAATGTTGAAATTGCATATACACATATATGTCATAAATTAATTGAGTACGATCTATAATATGGAATTATATCTGTGTATAGCTATATGAAAATGATGACCTCTATGAATAATAGGGTCAATGTGCTTGAGCATGTATTTAGTATTATTTATATATCACTTATTCAATTCACTTCATCTGTTCAGCAAATTAGGGTTATTTATGTGTTTTAATATAATAAGCTTCTCCAACAAACACAAGATACATCTGTCTCCCTTTACATAATATGATTTAGCGTTAGCGATTATCTCCCAGATGGGTTCTTATAATTGTTTTTTAATGGCCAAAAATGAGTTTGTTGTGCCTTTTTTGTATTTAATATTGTTCAACGTAAGTTGCTGATGGTAAAAACGCAATTTCAACTTGTTCTCGGTGGAACCAATGTAATATTTAACAGCATCGTCTGAATTGTTCATAGCTTTGGAGATTATGCTTTCAGTCACGCACTGGCCATTTAGTAGGCAGGATACGTTTTTACGCCAGTTGTATTGATTCTAATAGGATTAATTATATATATATATATATATATATATATATGTGTGTGTGTGTGTGTGTGTGTGTGTGTGTGTGTGCGCGTGTGTGTGAAAATATATAGAAAATAGGAAGGAACTGGTTAGGTAAATAATCCAAAGTCCCTTAGTATTTTAGTTATTATTTTTTAAAAATAGTGCTCGATACAAAAGTAGAGCATAAATATAATTATAATTTAATTATATATATATATATATATATATATATATATATATATATATATATATATATATATATATATGTAACTGGATGGGTGTTTAATTTATTAATATGACATATTTATATTAGTTAAACATTATGGTTAATGAATACTCGTATTTGTGTAGACATTCCGTCTATTTAATAAACAGCATGTTTATTTATTTTTGTCTGCCGGCCTGAATATTCGAGAAAGTCTTACTAGAGAAAATCCATTGTCTGATAAGCTTCGAGTCTGAGTTCTGCTAGGGGTCTAAAGCAACTCAGATCCAATGACGGTTCGGGTCCTACCGGTGAGCTCATATTTTTTTTCTATTATTATTTGTGTAGCCTCCGTTCCAGGGGAACAATCTCGCAGAAGTACTCCAGATGCGTTGAGAGTGGAGATGGAAGAGAACTTGCCGGCAAAGCAGTCTACCTGATATGCATTGTCCTCCGTTCTAGGGGAACAATCTCATAGAGGTACTCCAGATTTGTTGAGAGAGGAGATGGAAGAGAACTTGCCGGCAAAGCAGTCTACCTGATAAGCATTAGAGGTCAACAGTTCAATTTGATTGAAGATAAGAGGGTCTGCTGTTTCTGTTTATTCTTCAACACACGCAAATAATCCCTGGAAGTAAACTTGTGAAAGGCTCTATGGTGTCTCGTTCTATCAGCAAATATTAACTTTGCTTCTTTGGGTGACACACTTGCCCAAATTTATAGGCAGTGATAAAGAGACGTCTATTTCAATCAGACCTGTCGCTCTGATATATACTAAAGTAATTCCTGAAAAGAAATACCAACTTTTTACGGAAAAGTATCAATTTCTTAATAATTCCAGTGTGCATCTATTGTACATTTTATTAGCAGTAGATACCAAATGTGAATAGACAATGTCATAATTTATTTATTTTTCATTTTAAGTAATTAGTTGCTATTTTTAAAAAGTTTACTGCACAATTGACACATTAACAGATAGTTCAAAAGTACACGCACTTCATTATATGAAGAGCAATCATTTGTATTCACTTGATCAGACATGTCAAACTGAGCATATTAACAGTGTTACAAAAGTACAGTAATTCCCACTTTTCTTGAAACACACGTCCTTCTTCAGATAATTTTCTCATTTAAAGAGATGGAGTAGAAATCGACATTTTTACGGCAAAATATTACAAAATTACGAACGTTTTCACTTTACATTTGTTCTTATTTAATTGTCAAGGATGATCATACGATTAACCTGAAGTTAAAAATAGTGGCTGACATTCGAAAACAAACAAACAAAAAAACATTGAGATAGAATAAACAATCTAATCATACCAATTGAAAAAAAAATCTCACTATTTTTAATAATTTGCATCAGCAACACAGACAAAATTCTCGATATACCACAGCTAGAGAATTCTTTTGTGAGGGTTACCAAGATGGATATAAACGGCTGCATGCGGCCCGCGGATCGCCAGTTTGACGCACCGCACTAGATGATTGTGTCAATCTGCCAATAACCGCGTCTGTATCCAATTCATCAAACAATTCTTTTTCAATGGATAACAAGTATAATACCAAATTCTCCAGAGACAGCGAATTTTTTTAACCTTGTCTTTAGCTTTGAAAAGGTCCCCCTCTCACATTGAACATGGGTAACTGATAGTATGCAGATAACTTTATAAAGTTCTTATTCATTTTTTTATTACCAAAACTGCGGTTGATTCTTCATTGCATTTTTATTTGATATAAGGGGTCCACTCCATCAAGGGACCATTTGCCATCGGGCAAGGTAACATCTTGGCCAGTATGCCAATATGTACAATTTCCCTGTCTTCTATATGAAATTTGTCATAACTGATCCATGCTCCGAGGTATTCTTCTTCTTCTATGTGACATGTCCATTCAGCCTTTCTGCTATTGACTAGTATGTCATTGCCATACAAACAAAATCGAATGAGTTATTAATGTAAATAGTTCGTGGCACCTGTATGTGAGGGACGCATGGTGAATGTGTTGTTGAATGCAAAAGACTTCTTTTTTTTTCTTAGAAATTTCTTTCCAGTATTAGAGTGCGTCTTCCAAGCAGCTGCATCTTGCAAGCCGGAACATACGGTATGTGTACCGAAAGATCTATACTTGATCCTACTTTGTTTTTAATTTTCATCAAAGACTTTCAAGATGGCATTGCTACATATGTTGATGACACAACCATTTACTCCTGTCTCGATAGTAAGTCTGATCAGTTTGATAAGGTCAAATTGGCGGCTGATGTCAAACATGATGTACAGTCTGTGTTTAACTGATGGAAAGAAGGACTTGTTAGTTTTAGCGCCTCCAAAACTAAACTACTCTCTATTAATCATCTGAGCGACCACGTTCTGCCTTCCATCGGTATGGCTGATGCTGACCTCCAGGAGAGCAACTCATTGCCCCTTCTTGGACTAAGGTTTCCGGGAGACATAACTTGAAAAGACTATGTTTAATCTATTGCTAAGTCAGCTGCTAAGAAAAATCGCTCACTGTGTCGTGCTAGATAATGTTTTTTTATGTTGGAAATCTATCTTACATATATATATATATAAGCATTTGTCCATGCTTAGAATATTGCTGCCCCATCTGGCCCGGTGTCCCTGCTATATATTTAGCGATTTTTAATAAAATCTAAAGTAACAGCAATATTATTAGTCCTGATATAACTTCTCGGTTTCAGTCACTTTCCCCTCGCCGTAATGTTGCCTCACTGTGCCTTTTCTATAAAGCTCTTGTTTGTAATAAGTAGACTTCATGAACTTACGTGCAGTACTAGACTGGCCGCCAGGTCTCATCGATTGAAAGTTGAGTTGGATAGACGTAACCGTAAGTTCTATGCTGATAGTTTCTTTGCTCGCATTGTGATTTGAGGAACACTCTTCTGACTGTTACGGTTTTTTGGGTATATACCGTGTGTAACTAGTGAGCGAGTCAGAATGACTTATTTCCCTTTATAGTCGACCAATAGAAGGTTGACCAATCAGCAGCCGCCCAACACTGTACTCATAGTGTATAAAGGCGACCATCTTGTTTCCTCCTACCGGAAGGACCAAAGGCGAAGGATGAACTACACTCTGCTGTGATATCCACTGCGAACCTCCACTACGCTTTCCTACTGTCTCCGAAATATTCACTGCCAAACTCTGGATGCGATACTCGAGGACGACCGTCATAAAAATGTCTAACACTGACTCCATGCTTTGTCGTCAAGTTTTAAAAATTTACATGTCATTTGCTATCTACTGATTACTCTTTTGTTGTTCTTGCTTCTTAGTAAGGTTTCTGTTTTCTAATTCTTCAGTAGCAAATAACCTGTTGAGTCTTAGTGGCTTGACTATCTTGCTTGAATTTAACTCGAAAAAATAACAAAAAAAAAAAAAAAAAAAGACCAGTGCAGTGCAGATTTTAATTTTGAGATGACTCATGTTTTTATAAAATCTGTGATAGCCAGTCACGTACCCAAAATATATGATTCGATAACGACAATAAAAAAAAATCATGCTCTCTTGAAGTGGCTGGGTAATTTCATTGGCACTCAACAATGAACAATAGACCTGGCGTTCGTCTTAATAAATCTGCATCGAGCATTCCTTTATCTGGGTGACATTATTAATTTGTTTATTTGTTGATGCTGTTTGCAAATCACGCTAGCCGGCATGCATACATGAACAGTAAAGTCAAAAAGAAAAGAGAGAAGAAAAAAAAGACGAAGAATAACAAGTAAAAGACAAAGTAGAAGAAGAAGAAGAAAAACAAAAACAAAACAAAAAAAAATGAACAGGAGAAGAAGAAAAGGAAGTGCGTTTTTGCGCATGCGCTCACGTGTGTCAGTGCGTGAAACACGTGACCTTCTCCACGAACGCGCGTGCATTATCGTTTTTCGCACTCCATACTTGTTTGTATCTCTTGCGTTCTTCTATGGCTTGCCCCGGAGCCGATATTGCTTGTTGCTGGCTTGTCAAGATTCGATGGCACGAGAAGAACGAGACGGGTGGAGACGAAGGAGCGCTGATGCGAAGAACTGGTGGGTATTTAAGGTAAGAACAGTGGTGTAGACGCGTGATGGTGCCGGTGAAGGTGTAAAATAGGGTGGCGGCAATTGAAAATTATAAGACGAAAGGAAAACATGGTTGAAAGGATAATTTCAACCAAAAAAATGTAAGGAATGCCAAACGAAAGAGTAGGTAAGTGGATGAAAATGAAAGTTAATGTGAATAAACGAGGAATAAAAGATGAACATAAAAAGAAAGGAATGAAGAAAAGCGAAAAAAAGAAAGAAAGAAAGAATGAATGAAATGTTGAAAGAATTTTTAATCATGGAACACTGAAAAAATATAAAAAATCAATGAGAAAGAAAAAAAAGAAAAATATTATTTCAATGTGGAAAAACGGAATAAAGGAAGATTTTGAAAAGAATAAACACAGGAAAAAAAAAAGAAAATGTTAAAATTACAAGTAATAAAAGAAAGAATAAAATAAAGGCATGAAATTTTCGTTTCGCGAAAGAAGTAGGAATACAAAAAAAAAACGTATTAGGAAATAAAGAAAGTAAGGATATGTGAAAAGAAAGAAAGAAACAAACAAACAAACAAAGACATGCGATACCCAGATAAGTGAAAAGAAAGAAAAAGAAAGAAACAAAAAGAAATAAAAACTGGCGATACCCAGATAGGCAGAAAGAAAGAAAGAAAGAAAGAAAGAAAGAAAGAAAGAAAGAAAGAAAGAAAAGCGATTACAGGACAAATCAAAAGAAAGAATGAAATGACTTGCTATATCCAGATAGGTGAAAAGAAAAAAAAAGAAGAAAAAAAAAGAAGGTATACCGATTACAAGATAGGTGAAAAGAGAGAAGAAAAAACAAAAGGAAGAAGTGAGAAAGAAAGTATGGTGATTACAGGATACGTTAAAAGCAGGAAAGAAAGAATGACTGCCGATAGTTGAAAAGAGAAAAATAAAAAAAAAAGAATATATGATGATTAGAGGATAGGTGAAAAGAAAGAAACAAACAAAGAAGGGCAAAAGGAAAGTATAGTATGCGTAAAAAGTAAGAAAGAAAAAATACAGGCGACACCCAAATAGAAAGAAAGAAAGAAATAAAGAAAGAAAGAAAGAAAGAAAGAAAGAAAGAAAGAAAGAAAGAAAGAAAGATGATTAGAGTATACGTCAATCGTAAGAAAGAAAAAAATGCGATATCCGGAGAGTTGAAAAGAACGAAAAGACTGCCAATACCCGGATGGAAAGAAAGAAAGAAAGAAAGAAAGAAAGAAAGAAAGAAAGAAAGAAAGAAAGAAAGACTGGCAATACATGTATGGGTGAAAACAAAGAAGGAAAAAATGAATGAACGTATGGAGATTACAGGATAGGTCAAAAGAAAGAAAGAAAGAAAGAAAGAAAGAATGTAAGACTACCGATACACCGACAGGTGAAAAGAAAGAAAGAAAGAAAGAAAGAAAGAAAGAAAGAAAGAAAGAAAGAAAGAATATGGCGATTACATGATAGGTCGAAAGAAAGAAAGAAAGAAAGAAAGAAAGAAAGAAAGAAAGAAAGAAAGATGATTAGAGTATACGTCAATCGTAAGAAAGAAAAAAATGCGATATCCGGAGAGTTGAAAAGAACGAAAAGACTGCCAATACCCGGATGGAAAGAAAGAAAGAAAGAAAGAAAGAAAGAAAGAAAGAAAGAAAGACTGGCAATACATGTATGGGTGAAAACAAAGAAGGAAAAAATGAATGAACGTATGGAGATTACAGGATAGGTCAAAAGAAAGAAAGAAAGAAAGAAAGAAAGAATGTAAGACTGCCGATACACCGACAGGTGAAAAGAAAGAAAGAAAGAAAGAAAGAAAGAAAGAATATGGCGATTACATGATAGGTCGAAAGAAAGAAAGAAAGAAAGAAAGAAAGAAAGAAAGAAAGAAAGAAAGAAAGAAAGAAAATAAGACTGTCAATACACGGATAGGTGAAAACAGACAAAGAAAAAATGAATGAACGTATGGATATTACAAGATAGGTCAAAAGAAAGAAAGAAAGCAAGAAAGAAAGCAAGCAAGAAAATAAGACGGCTGATACACCGATAGGTGAAAAGAAAGAAAGAAAGAAAGAAAGAAAGAAAAAAAGAAAGAAAGAATTATAATAAGGAATGGTTTAAAAGCGAGAAAGAAAGGTTGGCATAAAGATAATGGCATAGAAACAGTTGGCAAATGAAACAGAAAGAATGAAAACAAAACAGAAACGTAAAGAAAATATAAAAACTAAAAAACCAAATCCTATTTTCAAAAGACGGGCGTGAAACAATTTGGCAATGAATAAATTGAAGGGAAAAGTAAGATTGAATGAATTGTAGATGTATTTGAAAACATTTCCTTTTAATGTCCTCCTTAATATTTTGTATTTTTCTTTTTGTTTTATCTGTCCTCTCAGTTTTTTTTTCTTTCTTTTTTCAAGTTCTTGTGTCAAATTCGTACTTCTCTTCCCTCTTCATCAGTTCAACCTTTTCTTCTCTTCTTGGGCATTCCTCGGTTTCTTTCCTTAGCCAATTCTTCCATTTGTTCTTGTCAATGCCATTCCTTATTTTCTTCCCTTCTTGTCTCCATGGTTCAATTCTTTGTCAATTCTTTTTTTTTTATGATTCAGTCACAATTCTTCTACAACAGCGGCGATTGACATCAGAATTAAACTTGAAATCCCGACCTGAACATCAATGACTAAACAGTGGGAATTATATGCAAATAATTTCAAATTTGTCGCAGAAAGAAAAATGATGACCTGATAAAATATAATAGGCTTTCTGATCTTCCGAAAAATCAACAAATTGTGTAATCCTCGCATTCTCTTGGATTTCTTCGGCGTCTTGAAATCTTGTTCCTTTCAAGTGGGATTTGATTTTTGATGAGGAAAATGTCGCAAGGGGGCAAGATATAGGGAATATGGTTGTTGTCGGAACTGAGGAATATGTCCTTGGGCCCAAACTGCTGGAAAGGTCATGGTCACTGATAGAACCTCTGCTCTGTGGTGAGGCGACCACAATCTAAGCACTTTCTTTCCAAGCACTGCGATAAACAATGGAAGTAAGCGAGAAACTTATAACTTAATGTGTGTGTCCGCGACAAGGATACAAAATCACTTCGCTTACTTCACTTCCATAACAACAGTCCCAATCCTTATATCGTATATTTTCTAATAAATGTCTGTCCATCTAAAACACGACAATTTAGATTTGAATTTGGTCATCTGATCCTCAGTGAAACGAAGGATAACCCAACTCATCGGTGCAGTGAATATAACACCATCCAGATATGACAAATGTCAAATTTGTATTAATCCTATACACACACACGCGCGTGCACGCGCAAGCGCGTACACGCATATATACATATATACTTACCTGGCTTATGTCAGAGGGTACCCCGAGACGAGGCTCTGCCTAAAGGCAGAATCTCGTTTTGGGAAGATGACTCCGTTTTTTACGTGGTCTATATGAAATTTTTGCCCGAGCCTACGGGCTCGGATACCCCATTTTAAACTCGGCCTTGTGCCACATCTTGCTGCGTGGGGCAGCTGGTAAATAATTATACATATATAATGGACTTTCCCGTCGGTTTCGACGTATGAGGATCTGACAGCTTAACCAATTGATTCAGTTACGAATTTTGTGCGATAATCTTAAGTGGCATTAAGTTCCATAAGTGATTTGTAAAGGAGGCCGCATATATAGCAAGAGTGAGGATTGTGGGATGAGGTCACGGTTAGATTGACATGGCCTTTTAGATCTTGCTCTCGCGTGTTGAAGACGATTTAGACTAGCAGATTGAAAATCACTGAGTCTACTAAAACACGTTGATCTTCATGCTACCCGCTCCAAGGCTAAGCGCTCGAGGGTGTTATGTGGCATATTGACAGCACACAATTGATCTTCAGCTTGTCTTTATATCTTAGCCATGGGCGTCTTACATTCCTGTAGCCCTGATCTAACTGGCTGTACATTAGGATCTTGGGTATCCTGTCATCAGGCATTCTCAAGACATGACCAGTCCGCCGCAACTGAGACTGTATGAGGAAAGACTCAATTTCTCCAATATTACACTTGTTAAACACGTCTACATTGGATGTCCTGTCTTGAAGGCTAACTCCACAGATGGCACGCAAATAGCTCTTATATATATATAATGCTGTGGTTATTCGATCAAGCAGTCTGGAGAAAGGATTATTTCAAAAGAGTGCCTGCGGCTGCTATTAACGCATCGCTCTTCAATTACGAACTGAGCTCTCTCGGCTACTGGCGTTTGTATACATTTCGTATATAATACGTTAAAATGTCGTTTTCTCTGCCATGCGCTGATAACTTAGGGGAGTAAGATCTTTAACACATGCGAAACCGGTCAAGTTTCGATCCCGGCTTAAAGCAATCGGACGTCTAGTTTTTATCTAAAAATAAATACGCTTAAATTCACCTTCATCCCTGTCGTGTGCCATATATATATATATATATATATATATATATATATATATATATATATATAAAAAAGAATCGAGTTCTCTCAATACATGTGTGTTTATCTAAAAAATAAATACGCTTAAATTCACCTTCATCCCTGCTGTGTGCCAAAGGCATAAGGGTAGAATTTCCGACTGACAGTAATTCAACAGGGTTTTGATCTTAGCTAGAGGCAACCGAACGTCTAGCCACATTTATGAGCTGTGATACAGCGAAACAGTCTGTCTATGGATGACAATATATATATAATAAGAACTAATGCGGCAGAAATTTATAGAAACAAGGATCTTTTCATTCATAACGGATTCGGAGGTTTTTGTATATTATTTGAATTGTTTGCGACGATGGATTTCTCGCCAATTAAATCATTAACCTTTGCATTTGTTTTTGTGTAAATAATTCATGAATATATATATATATATATATATATATGTCAGTGTGTGTGTGTGTGTGCGCGTGTGTGCGCGTGTGTGCGTGTATGTCATTGTCATCAACTTTATAGTCTAATACCATAGACAATTCTCACTCAAATTATTTCAAATTTTAACAAAATGTGCAAAAGTCTAAGTTTTTCAGGATGAAAAAAAGATATTTACCAGAAATGAAAAATAATTTTTTTTATGTTAGAATATGCTCGACCAAATTCAAAGAAAAGTGTGCATCGTGCTTTTTCAAGAAAATTTTTTTAAAAAAATTGCACTAAGTGGAAAACGGATTTAGACATGGCATAAAAATCCAAAGGCGCTGGAGAATATTACGCAAACATGCTACAGCGTGTTTGGTAGGAGCTGGGCTACCGACTTAACGTGTCACAGGTGGTGCGCATATTGAACATCCGTGAATTAAAAAGGAATAATCCATTCTTTATTAGGTATTGGCAGGACGTAACGATCGTGCTTACTAATGGAAAGACAAGAAGACATTATAAGATTAAAAAAGGCCATGAAGAACATTGTCCAGTAAAGTTGTATTATTGCGTTTCAACGACGCTATTTGTGGTTCGAATCTTGCTGGATGACGCATCTTCCTGCAATATGATTTCTTGAAAATTCAGGTCTGTCGTGGAAAATAAAATACTGCTTAAAAAATTAACCGGAACATCTACTCAAATATAACGTTTAAAGTGATATATATATATATATATATATATATATATATATATACAATAATTTGAAGATTTTGGAATCAGTCTCTATAGGATTAAGGAAACCTTCTCTCTGCCGGCAGAAAGAAATTGTAAAGTCCCTTAATCTGTTAGGGGATATTTTATTTTAACTCTCCCTCGCTAATTTATTTACACGTTATTTCCCCCCCTCCTCGTTACAAGTATATACACTTGTTTCTTATTTTAGCGTGTCCCCCCTTTTTTTTGCTCTTTATCTCCGTTACTGTTCTTTTCGTTAATTAATGATCCAACGATTGTCTGAGATGTTGGTTGAAAGGGCCTTAGAGACTAATAAAATTAAAATCAATAAATTCCTCGTTTTTAAAACTGTATATAAATTTTGTACCTCTAAACATTTGTTTATATATATATATATATATATATATATATATATATATATATATAAACATAAAAAATAACATAAAAATAACATAAAAAATGTCCAAATTGTGTAACAAAAAAAAAAAATCCAATTGTTATATTAAGCTCATCAACATGGTATCTTAGAAACGATTAAAGATATCTTCCTGGAATTCGCCCAGATTTTGATAACAATGTTGGACTCTATTTTGAGCAATGAGAATGTATAATTACTCTCCAAGTTTAACAGAATAATCGTCATGAAATCGAGCAAAAATGGATTTGACATGTTCATCATTAATTAATCATAGTTAAGGACCGGTGGTTCATAAATGATTGAAATAAAGTTCAAATATATATATATATATATATATATATATATATATAAAATATTTGAGGGTAATTTTCAATCTTGTTCAAGGTGATATTCGCCCTCTCTAACCTTCAAACTTTCTGTCCTTGAGTAACAAGTTGCCTCAGATGTTTCTCGTAAAATTTCATTTTCAAGTTTTTTTCACTACTCATTGGACTGTCATAGCTGAAAATACTCTCACTCTCGTTTTATGAATTGAGTTGCGTCTTTTCTAATTGATCTCTTTAGCTCTAAGTTGAAATGATGAACCCCGTGTCCGTTGTAACCACCTTATCCAGTTTTCCTATCTACTGTTCCATCTTTTTTTAAAAACTTATTCACCGTTCTCTTAATGGTCCTTTGAAGGTTGAAGCCAGAGTAGGAGTGTTGCTAGCATTACTGGAGGCTTGAATGATCTTTTACCTCTTATCATAGCTCAGTTGAAAAGGAAGTGAGTCTGACACAAAGCAATTTTAACCTGCTCTCCTTTTAGCTGAATAGCTCAAAGGCTTTATTTTTTAGTGATTCTTACGGAAAATGAGTCAAGATAACTGAAAATCTGAAAAAAAAAACTCAATTAGTTTAGTGGTTTTTAGATATTAAAAAAAAAATTGTGGGCTGGATAATTATGCTGCTATACGATTTGGACAATTTTGCTGTTACACCAGGTATATATATATATATATATATATATATATATATATATATATACATACATATGTATGTATGTATGTATGTATAAGTAACGAAAATCTTGGTAATCCGTATGAAAAATCACAAGGAGGATGAAATCCGAAGAGCTCAATGTTAAGTA